GAGTTCATTCCACCAGGTCAGACTGTTAATCAAGCTTTCTATTTAGAGTTTCTGAAAAGATAGCATAACAGTATGCAACAAAAGAAGGCCTGGTTTATGGCAGATGGATTGGTTTTGCCAGCACGACAGTGCACCTGCTCATGCAGCCATCTCAGTGCACCAGATTTCGGCTAAAAACAGCATGCCTCTCTTGCCCCACACACCTTATTCACCTGACCTTACACAGTGTGACGTCTTTTTGTTTCCGAGAATGAGGAGGGACATGAAAGTGATTTGAGGACATAGAAGAGGTGAAGAAAAAAATGAGGGAGGTGCTGTCAACCATCCAAACATGAGATTGAAACATGCTTCCAAGAGTGGAATTGCAGAATTGACAGATGGATTAGGTGCAATGGAGAGTACTTTGAAGGTGATAAGGTTCTTTTGTAAAAAGGAAAAAAAATAAAGTACATAGATTTGCGGAACAAAAATTCCAGGTTTTTTGGGGGGTACCCCCTTGTATCTTTTATTTCAACCCAAAAGAATGTGCCTGAGTTCTTCCATTTCCCAGTTCCCAATCCATGGGGCATTAAAAGCTGTTCTCTAGCTAGTTGTTAAAAAGTATGCTTCTCTTTAAAACCTGCTATAAAAGAAGGAATGTTGCAAATTCACTTTCCTCTAAAATCCCAGCAGCGCAGAACGCAAAGCAAAAAGAAACCATGCTCGGTACTTTCCTCTGTCAGGCTCGGTGTAGTGTAGCTTCAGAAGAGCTAGCTACTGTTCATAGACGGGCTCTTCTGGGACACAGTGACAGCTCGCTTCTGGACCTGTAGGCTGGCTGGTGTCTGCGTTTTAAATGACAAGTGTGCTTACTTCTTTCCTTGATCGCAGCCTTCTCTTGGAGTCAAGAAGCCAACCAAAGCCCTGCTCTTTGTCATCCTGAGTCCAGTGGGACCCTACTTTTCAAGCGGAACCTTTCATCCTGTGTCCCTGATGGCCAACCCGAAGTACGTGAGGGCCTGGAAAGGTGGAACCGGAGACTGCAAAATGGGAGGGTAAGAGAAAACCCGTGTCTGTCTCCCGGAGCGCCCTCCGTGCCCATTTCGTTTGTGCCATTTCACTTCCATAAGGATGCGTAGTTACGTTTTAATGCTCATTGCTGTGTTCTGATTACCTTGCAAATATTTGGAAATACACTCATTTTTTGAAAGGATCACCTTTCCTAAGTGATAGATAGTTAAGAACTAAACCAAGTAACTTGAACAGGAACAAAATCAGTACTTTGCCTGCATTGCCCCTCGGTGCCAGTCCTCTTTGGCTGCAGCTGGCACTTGGCATAAAAGAGCATCTGGTGCCGGGGCCGAAGCTCTCAGTTGGCTCCAAGGAGTCATGTCTGGGGAAGGTGCCTGTTCACTGAAGTGCTGTCTTCATTGCCACAGATTGTCGCCCCACCTGCTGCCAACTGGCTGACGGACAGCCCTGCTTTGGCTCTGTCAGACCAGTCTCCTAGGCCATATGTAGCTGGCTGCAAATGAAAGCACATTGGAGAAGTGTTGGACAATTTCAGGGGTGGACTTGGCTGTGAACTGGGAATGCCCCTCTGGGTGAACAAGAATAGCTAGGTTAAGCAGCATGGCTGTTCCCTTTGTATGTATCAAGTGCCGATGTGCCTCACCCAGCCTGGGGTGTCTGTCCTTCTGGAGGTGACTCAGTGACAGTCTTCCAGGCCCCAACGAAGCGTGTAGACTCAGGGAGCCTCGAGAGAGTGCAGTGACTGCTCCTGGGATGTTAGGGACTTTGACAGCTGCTTTTGACCCCTTCTTGAATTTCCTGCCCAATGATGACTTTTTTATAAAATTCTCTGTCCCGTGATTCTTGTTGACAACTTCCGCAGCTGCATTCACGGAATGGGTAAAGATCATACTGGATCCCATCAAACGAAGAAGTCACTTTCTGTTCTTTCTGGTTCAGAGCACTCTCACTACGTCCTTCCTGTGCTGGCCAGATGGCAAACGGTTTTTGGTTATTGTCTTGACTTCCCAGAGCATATGTTTATGCAGCACTGTAGTCCATGTGGAAAGTTCCACTTCTGGGGGCATATGATAGTAAATTACCACTTTGATAGTGCGGTCATTGTGAAAAACAAAATGATGACAAAAGTATTTTTAAAATCTTGCTTCTCTTCTCCCCCTTCTCTGACTATTGAAAAGATAACTTGGGGGTCATTAGGAAGTCAGAGAATAAACGTTATTGCCTGGTATGTAGGCCGGTTGTTATTTGTTACAAAGATTGAGACTATCCAACAGTATGGCAGAACACAGTCCCGATCAGATTTCTCTAAGTCAGAATTGACCCAATAGCCATTAGTTATTATTGCCGTTGCTTTAATATATATATATATATAGCCACTGAGTCAGTTCTAACTCATTGCTTTTGCACACAGAATGAAACACTGCCCTGTCCTATACCGTCCTCACCATTGTTAGGTTTGAGCCCACTGTTGCAGCCACTGTGCCAGTCCATGGCATGGGGGGTTGTGCCCGGCTGGGTTGACTAGAGAAACAAATCCAGTGACACTCAAATAGGTGTAAGAAAGAGCTTTCTACCAAGAAGTAATTACATACCAAGAAAACATCCCAGCCTGGTTCAACTCAAGTCCTTAGTCTGGTACTCGTCCTACGTCCCTCTTCAGGCTTACGCAGCCACTTGCAGTCATGCAGGATGTGGGAACATCGCAGTCCAGCGTGTGCAAATGTCCTGTGGATCCAGTGGCAGTGGCTCTGGCAGCAATCGAGGTCAGCCAGCAGGAAGGTGAAGGCCGAGAGCGAAGGGGAGGTTCCCAGGGCCTCCTTATGAGAAGACCTTGCCCACAAGGAAGCACTATCAGGCTGTAGTCTGATCCACAGATTGGTAGCACCTCTACACTTTCATATATATCTTCAAGGTGACATGAAGTTTTATAATTACCACATGGGCCTTTTTCTTTTTCACTGCCCTCCTTCTTCGCCAAGCATGATATCCTTTTCTAGGGACTGTCTCACCTGATAACCTGGCCAAAGTATATGAGATGACGTCTCGCCACCCTGGTTTATAAGGAGCATTCTGGCTATATTTCTTCCAAGATGTTTGTTCCAAGAAGGTTGTTCTTCCAAGAACAACAAGATTTTGTTGTTCTTCTGGTAGTCCATGGTGCTTTCCATATTTCATCAGGAATGATTCAAATGTGTCCGTTCCTCTGTGGTCTTCCTTTCTCAACGTCCAGCTTTCCCATGCATTTGCGGTGACGGAAAATATCGTGGTTTGAGTCGGATGTACCCAAGTCCTCTGAATGACTTCCTTGCTTTGCATTACTTTAAGGAGGTCTTGTGCTGCAAAATTTCCCAGTGCGCCACATCATTTGATTTCTTTCCTCCCCCAATGCAAAACATTCTAATGGTCAAATATATAGTTATTAGAATATCTACATATCACTTAAGTTATGAAAATTGGTATATCATATTAGATAATTCTATAAAATAAAAGCAAAAACACAAATCATGTATCAACAATAGTCCCTGCAGTCAATACCCACCTAATAGTATAAATTACACATTTTAAAGAGAGATATTTAGATATTTTTCATTTGATTTCTTGACTGCTGATTCCACCATCATTGAGGATGGATCCAAGTAAAAATGATATTCACGCCAACTTCAATCTTTTCTCCATTTATCACAATGTGGTCTATTGATCTAGTGAGGATTTTTGTTTTCTTTATATTGAATTGCAATCCATACAGATGGCTGTAGATTTGATTTTCCTCAGCAAGTGCTTCAAGCCCTCTCAACTTTCAGTAAGCACAGTTATGTTATCCACATCCCGTGTGTCATCCTGATAAATGTGTTGTTCTAAATGTAGTTCAGCTGCTCAGTGATTTGCTCAGGATACCAGTTGAATAAGTTTGGTGAAAGGTTGCGACACTGGTGCACACCTTTCTTGACTTTAAATCATAAATATGTATAAGCCAATTAAAAACTCCCAGTGGTGCTGTGGGTTGGACATTAGGCTGTTAACTAGAAGGTCAGCCATTCAAACCCACCAGCTGTTCTGAGGAAGGAAGATGAGGCAGTCTGCTTCTGTAATGATTTCCAGCCTTGGGACTCATGTAGTGGAGTTGCACTCTGTCCTATAGTGTTACTATTGGTTGGAGGTGACTCTGTGGTAGTAAGTTTGGTTTGGTTTTCTAAGTCAATTAAGAGTATTAATTTGACAGAGGCTTAGGTGAAGCATGATCATTATATGTTGACTAGGAATGTATTCAGACGTCAGGAGACTTAGAGAAGAGATATTAAAATTCATACATAAAGCAAAAATGACAAAAGGGAATGCAATAATTGAAAGGATGGTATTATTGTTATTTTTTATTCCAAGAAAATTAAATCATTATTACTATTTTTTTGCTCTGCTGTGAACTTGAACAAGTACAAGGAGCACAGTATGTGAATGTGAATTCAGAATCATCCCCTTTAGTTGGCAATGCTGTCTGGAAAGGAACTTAAATTTGTGTTTTGCTCTCTCTGTATAACCAATATCTTCTGTCAAATCAATTATTTGAACAGTCACCTTTCAAGTGTTTTAGGAACCCTGAGATAACTATGAATTGATATTTATTAAAGAGCTATTAATTTTCTTAACTTTGAGAACTTTCTGGTTTCTACTTAAGTAAATCCAAGGAAGGAAGAGAAGTGTTTTTGTTGTTGTTGTTGTAAGATTATTCTATTTTTGAGCCACCGAAGATAACACTACATATTTTGATTATAGTAATTTTTGCGTAGTTTTCTTGGTGCATCTTGGCATATCATGCAATTCAATCATTAAATCATATTAGAAAGAGTTGAACAATCATCTCCACACTAACTTTTAGAACATTTACTTCTTTCTTGTGCTTATTGTCATCAGTTCCCCTCCTCTCCCCAGCCTCCCCTGACATACTCCCAAGAAACCATCAATGCAGTCACTGTCTCTATAGCGCTATACCTCTCCTGTATTTCATATGCAGAAAAACATAGAACACAAAATACAAAAAAATATATTTGCACCTTGCATGAGAGGAAGGCTATTCACATCTCTGGTCTATGATCAGAGGGGATTGACCAGAGGTTTAATCTGTGTGTAGACCCTTGTGAATGGATTCTGGGCTCCCACTTTATCCATAGCCTTCTGCAAACTAGATCTTCACAATGTACGTCCTGATTCTATCTCCTCATTCAGATTCTATCATTTACACCCCTTGGATCACACAGGCTGCTGTGCTTCTTCCATGTGGGCCCAGTTGGTGCCTCATTGGGTGGCTGTGGATTGGACGACAAGCCTTTACGACCCCAGACACTATTATTTCTGATAGCCAGGTGCCATCTGATCTTCACCACACTTTGCTGTAGCGCCCACACCTTCAGTGATCGCTTCCTGAGGGTGAGCACCAAGTCGCAACAAATTATTCTCAGCTATATCATTTCTCTATGTAAGAGAAACGATAAATGACATGCAGCGGAAAGAATTTTTTACTTACACATGGTTCTCACCTCAGCTGCAAAGCACTTGGGATGCTTAAAAAATTACGGATACCTGGGTCCCATCTCTAGAGATCTTACTTTATTTGGCCGAGAATATAGCCTCGGGTAGTGGTGTTTGTGTGTGTGTGTGTGTGTGTGTTTTGTTTGTTTTTCATGTACAGCCAGAGCTCAGCAGAACTGAGCTTAGAGTAAGAGGGAGTTTCCTTCCTTCATCGAGTTGTTAGTACCGTGACATTGGTTTGCACTCCCAGGGCCCCTAGGTAGAACAGAATGGAACAGTACGTGGTCCTGCACCATCTTCATAACCATTGTTATTTGTAGTCCACATGTCAGTCTAGCTCACGACGGGTCCTTCCTCTTTGCGCCGATGCTCCACTTTCCAAAACATGATTTCCTCCTCCAGGGACTAGTCCCTTTTGATAATATGCTTAAAGCACGTGATAGGAAGTCTCCCCATCCTCCCTTGCAAGGAGCCTTCTGGCTGTACTTCTTCCAAGACAGATGTGTTTGTTTCTCTAACTGTTGGTAGGTGCTGGCTCATAGGGACCTCACTATGCACCTCTAACTGTTGGTAGGTGCCGGCTCATAGGGACCTCACTATGCACAACAGAATGACGTAGTTCCCAGTCCGGCACCGTCCTCACCACTGTTATGTTTGAGCTCATGCTGCAGCCTCTGCGTCACTTCATCTCATGGAGAGTCGTTCTCCTTTTCAGTCCCCTTCTACTTTCTCCTTTTCCAAGAAGTTTTTTTTACTTCCTGGTACCATGTCCAAAGCACTTGAAACAGCTCCGTCATCTTCCCTGCACAGGAGAACGCTGGCGGGATTCTCCAAGACAAGTTCAGTTGGCCTGGCAGCCCATCATGCTTTCAGTGTTCCTCACCAACACCCTCATTCAAGTGCGTCCCTGCTTCTGCAGTTCCCTCGTCTGTTATCTAGCTTTCATACGCACGTGGGACCCTTGAAACCCTGATGGCTTGGGTTAGGTGCACGCTTACTCCTCAAAGTGACATCTTGGCTTTTTAACCTTGAAGAAAGGTCTTTGGCAGTGAATTTGCCCAGTATAATGTTGTTTTCATTTCTTGACTGCCGCTTCCTTGGTTGCCGACCATGGGTCCAAGTGAAAGGACACCTCCGGACACTTCAGACTTCTCTCTGTTTATCATGATGCCGTCTCCTTTATTTGCACAGTTATGAAGACTTTTGCATTCTTTATATTGAGATGGCATTCATATCAATGGCTGTAATCTTTGACCTTCAGCAGTCAGTGCTTAAAGTTGGCTTTTAGAAAGTAAGCTTAGGACAACTGCACATTGCCGGTTGTTCATGAGCTTCCTTCCAATCTCGAGTCCACATTCTTGTTCATCTACTCTAATCTCTCAGGTTACCTGTTCAGCATACAGATTACATAAATATGGTGAAGGAATATAACTCTAACATACACACACCATTTCTGAGTGTAAACTATGCAATAGCCCCTTGTTTTGATCAAATAACTGCTCCTTGGATTAAAATTATAGTTAACATAGCCAAGATGGAAATTCTAGAACGCTTGTGTTCATGCGCAACCTGCCTGATAAACAGGCCCCGCATGGGCACGATTACATGTTCTAGAATTTTCCTTCTCCACAATGTTATCCATAATTTGCTATGGTCTACAGAGCAAATGGTCACCTGGATGCCTTTACATAGTCAATAAAACAGAGGTAAGCATCTGTGCAGTCTTCCTCCCTTTGTATCAAGACCCATCTCTGGCTTGCATCCCGGGCATTTTTCTGTCAGTGTAGTACTCGTTTTAAACATTACCTTATGCAAAAGTTGACCTGCATGTGTTTGAATATTATTAGCCTTTATTATTGCACTATCTTTATTTCCAAGCAACTTGTTCATGAACTCTTCTTTAATTTTTTCTTATACTTTCTTTCTGCTCTTAAGAATATCAACTTCAAAGTTAATGAGACCTAGCTGAAAAGCCTAATGGCAGAGGCATGCTCTGTAACTGTTCTATGTCTCAAATTCCTCATTTATAGAATAAGGGTAGGAACCCAGTCTTTTCATATGAGGATTAAGTGATAAGATGTAAGGGGACCATATTATAATAGCCATATACAAGGGGGCTTCCAAAAGTTTATGAAACACATCTTCTATTATTTAATTACATTTTCTATTAATGTAATTGTAGTTGCAAATCAGACAACCAACTCAAGCCATCTTAAGCAGCAAAGGAATCGATTGGCTTATGTCAGTCAATGGAGGCAGTGGATCTGCCAGCAACTCAGAACATTGTTGCCTGATGCCTAGTGCCCTGCACATACTTTCCCACCCTCCCTCGTTCCCTCTTTCTGTCTCTAGTCATAGCTTCTGGCTCTGGATTAACCTAAGGCCACGTGTCTTCTTCTGTATGGTGATTCTGGACGTAATATGCCACAGACTTCCACTACACTAAATAATTAGCCCAGAAGAGGAGGGGTGGGGGACCCTGTGTGTAAGGTCTCATATGCTGAAATGAACAAACTCAAAGATTTCACATAAGTAATTTAAATTACATCCAAGAGTGACCAGGGACAAGCTGCTAAGAGTGTCGCAGGAAGCAGACTGACTTTACATCAGCGGAAGGAGGGTCATTTTACAAGTGGGAATCACTGTCGTAGATGCCCGTCAGCCCAGCTCCCCTTTCACGAGAACATGCGTTTTAATCTGACCTGCTGGTGTCAAGCCTGTTTCCATTCATGGTGACCTAGGACAGAGTAGAACCGCCCCCATACATGTTTTTCAAGCCCGTGAAGCTTTAGGGAGCAGACTACCACACCTCTTTTTCAGAAAGCAGTCAGAGTCGACCAGTGGGTTTCAACCACCCACCTTTTCATTAGCAGCTGTGCCCTTACGCACGTCACCGTTAGGACTCCATTTTAGTCTTACCCAAAGGTCAAAGAGATGGCTTAAAAGATGATTTAATAGAAGATTCTGGTAGTAGCTGTTGGTTTCTTTCTGTGTCCTGCTGCCTAACTGTAATGCGTCTAGGCTGTGTTTCCTAATCCTGGTTATCTTACGGTAGTCCGCCTCAGAATGTTTCCACACGCCAGGCATACAATCAGGACTTAAGGGAGGCAATCAAGTTTCAAATTTATTTGAGGGCTGAGGTTCGTAGTTTAAAAATTGATCTGTATTTTGTGACCTAGTCCATAATTCTTTCATTTACTTTTAAATAAAAGGTAATCAAACCATCCTAAATGAAATGTCACTCTAGAAAGGTGTAGTATGCTCCTTTAAATAGACTTTTGGGATATTTTTTGGGAAAATTGGTGCTTTTTTTGTCTTATCATTTGTGGAATTTAGACATAGGACATTATATATTTCCCAAACATATTAAATGGTCTGTCAAGAGTGTATAGACTTCGTGATCTCCTACTTACTCAGTGTGTAATTTATATATGGTACTCCTCTAAGCCTCATCAAAGTCTTTATTTTTCCCCTAAACTATGGTCCTGTGAGATACCCATTGGACTGCTAACTGTAGGGTCAGCAGTTCAAACCTACCGGCCGCTCTTTATGGAGTCAGATGAGACTGCTTCCGTAAAGATTTCCAGTCTTGCAAACACTTTTTGGATCACTGTGATTCAATCTGGTAGCAGTGGGTTTGAGTTCTTGTTGTTTTTGCAAATACTGTTGGTGTAGCCATGGTGGTGCTGTGGTTCAGGCATTGGCCTGCTACCTCCAACATGAGCAGTTCAAACCCAGTAGCCACTCCACAGGAGGAAAATGAGGCTCTCTGCTCTGTAAAGATTCGCAGTCCCAGAAACCCTTTATAGTAGTATTATGAGTTGGGAAAGACTTGATGATAGTAGGTTTTGATTTAATGGTATTTGTGTGACATTTACTTGAAGTTTTTCATGTAAAATTGCTAGGCATGCATAAAAATACCAATAACTTGTAACTATTAGCATTAACTATGCTATTTATCTAGGTTCTTATATCTTTATTTCTCAAGTTAGGGTTCCGAGATTCTACGTTAGTGAGTGCAATTAGATAAATCATTTAGCTTCTATAATGATTTTTTTTTTTTGCTTGTTTGTTTTGTTTGATGCTATGCAGTTAGAGAAGACATATCTTAGGATCATAATATGTTGCCTATGTCAACCTGTGAATTAAAAACTTGAAGCTTTTAGAATATGGAAGTTGGCCGAGGGCATGGGGGAGAAATGTGTATTTGTAATCAGTGTGTCTTCTCTCTTTTTAAAAGGAACTATGGCTCATCTATCTTTGCGCAGTGTGAAGCACTGGAGAATGGGTGTCAGCAGGTCCTGTGGCTCTATGGAGATGGTAATCAGATAACCGAAGTTGGAACTATGAATCTCTTCCTTTACTGGATAAATGAAGATGGAGGTAATCCACCGAGGTTTCGATCCACTCTTGCTGCTTCTCAAAGGCCTTTGAATAACAGAACTGGAGCCTTAGACCAGGGAAAAGCACAACTCACAAAGCTGAGAATCACAATACTTATGCTGTCCATGTAGACATGAAGTAAAGTTTGCCAAAGTTGTAAAGGTTATGTTATGGTTTGGGTGTTTGGTTCTGTGGTGGTTGTTAGGTACCATGGAGTAGAGAACTGCCCCATCGGGCTTCCTAGGCTGCCATCTTTACAGGACCAGATTGTTAGCTATAGTTTTTCCTCTTGGGAAGCCATGGAGTGAGTTCATTGTAGTTAGCAGCCAAACATCAAACTGTTTCATCTCTAGAGTTTCCTTTTGGGTTTTAGGCAGATCATGGATAATACTGTAGGGATTCAAACTAGTACTTTCTTGACTATCTTGGAATGTATATACTTTCCCAGGATTTGAAGATTTGTGGTTTTATCTTCTTTATCACTGTAGCAGTTCTCTTGTCTGAACAGCCTGGCACTTGGAAGTCTCAGATATATTCAGTTACTAAATGTTAGAAGTCTCAGGATTTTCTCTGCATCTCAATGTGATCAATGCACCCTATTTTTAAGCTCAGAAGGATTGCTGCGCCCAGATACTGGTTCATTCGAGGCCTTTATTCACTGAGCCTACTGTAAAAATAAGCACTTCGAATACCGATCACATCCCAAATAGTTATTAGCTCTATTTGATATTCTTTTGGTTTGTTTAGTTTTGATTTTAGTTGAGTGTTCACTGAAGTTGTGACAGTGTCTACAGTATGAGGTTAAATAACTTGTGTCTTTATTGCTAGTGGAACAATCACAAACATGGAGTCTTAGTATTAGATTAAGTTCTTCATTTCACATTTGTGAGTGTAATGATTAGAAGTGCAAAATTATAAGTCCCTAAAATGCATGAATTCTTGGTATTGCTTTCAAGTAAATCTTGAAATGAATCTTTTACTTTTTAGCAGTGATAGTAGCCTCTAAAGCGATGGTGTAGTTTGGAGACAAAAAGAGGAATGGTGTGGTTCTGGGAAGGATGAATCAGAGCTCTGTGTTAATTTGAAGGTTAATTATCAAGACTAACAGGATGAATCTTGTTGTTCCATTTAGATATAAGATGAGCAGAATGTGTAGCCAATATCCTGTCCTGAGATGAACTTTGGGGCGTGAAAAGCTCGCTGCACATGGCTTTATTTAAGAGCAAAATCTGTACTGGGATATTTGTGATCTCGCAATTTGAGTTTTCCACAAATCAGAACAGATTTCTATGGCCACTGACAAAATTCGATTCCTTATATTTGATAGATGAAGGTGCTTCAAACGTTCTTGGAAAAAATTGCATTATTTCATTCACTTTTCCCATAACCTTTAAGAAACATTAACTCTGTAGATGGAAGATAATAGATTAATTCACTTCTTTTTCTATTCTCTTTCTCCTCACACCAAGGGATGGGATGTGTGAGGGGGCGAAGTGGGAAACACACCCATAGCAAAAACACACAGATGTCGTTCTTTGTGGGTGGGAGCTGTAGGGGTTGAAGCATAGTCAGAGTCTGAACTCCATGGTATGGTTCGAGACATCAGAAACGGTCTGATGAGACTGACCCTCTATCTAAACAATGACCGTGGAGTCTTGCCTCCAGGACTTTTAAATATCAGAATAGAAATAAAGTGAAATTCTGTTTACTTGCTTTCAAAATCTGAAAGGCCTTAAGAGTTAATATTCTAAGTAGGCTCCTTGGAGATAACTTGAGCCAGGTTTTAATATTACCTTTCAATTTGGAGAAGAGTTCTGCTAACAGACCAAACAAACTTAGAGACAAGAAGAAAGGCTGTATTGCATAAATGCTTAAACTGTCCTCTGAGAGAAGTGAATAGAAAGTCAGGAGTAACCTTTGGGCTAAAATAAGGCTGAAGCTACCCTATCTTAAGTTTGTTTTATGTCACTTGCCATCCGGGAGAAAGAAAAAACACACAAACACAACAGCAAAGAACAATGAGTTGAAAATCAGCAGAGTATTGATTGTCACAAACTTTACCAACCAGGGTTTAAGCAGAGTTCTTGGAATAATATATTGCCATCTTTCCATGACCACCCACATTCCTCTTTTTGGACAGGATAGATAATTCATGTTTAAAGTATAGAGTGTCACATACTCTACTTTAACTCGCGTGGGTTTTGAGCAACTGTGTAAGAGCAGCCTTAGTGGGGCAATCCCCCAGCACCCACTCTCTTGTGCATAGTGAGTGATTGGACCCATGTAATTTGCTACTGCTATTGGAGCAAACGATGTTATGGTGTCCTGGACCCTGGAGGTACCCTGAAAAATAAGACCCAGTCCTTGTGGTTGTCAGTGTTGGAACTTTTCAGTCACATCAGGCATTTTTCCTGGCTCTCTTGGAAACCTCAGATGCCTGCAGGACGTACTCTCTCACCTTCCTCAAGTTTTGCTCTAAATCAGTGGTTCTCAACCTTCCTAATGCCGTGACCCTTTCATACAGTTCCTCATGTTGTGGTGACCCCCTCAACCATCAAACTATTTTTGTTGCTCCCTCATCACTGTCATTTTGCTACTGTTATGAATCAACCGACTCCTGTGAAAGGGTCGTTTGACCCCCCACAGGGGTCGTGACCCACAGGTTGAGAACTGCTGCTCTAAATTCCACCCTCAGCACTTCCCATCCCCTTCCCTGTGTTGTTGTTCTTCCCCAGTTCAACCGAGGAGTCACTGAGTAAGCAAACAGTCTAAGTGCTTGACTGCTAACCAAGAGGTCTGTGGTTGAGAACCACCCGGAGGTGTCTCAGACGTCAGACCGAGAGGTCACCTGTGGACCGGTTCTCTGCACACACGAATCCCCCTGAGTTGCAATTGGCTTGATGGTAACTCGCAATAGACTATTTCATATACTATTTAATACTCTAATTGCTTCTCTCACGCAGTGGAGAATACGATGAGAATTGTCTATGTTTTGTTCACGGCTGTATCCACTGTTTCTAGCACCTGGAAGGCATTCAATAAAGATGTGTGGAGTAAATGAACAGTGCTGCTGCTTCTGATGCGTAGGACTGTTAGCCAAACCTATAGGCCTGGTTCTCACTCATCTCTTTATAGTTCTTGACCTTGGGCAGTCACAGATGAATTCTCCAGTTATTGCGTCTAAATTTTTCAGTCTCTCAAAATGGTTTGCTTGTCAAAAAGGAGCTGCATTGGCAGGTTCTGTTCTGTTCACTTCTTGTTGGGCAATCTGTGGTTAGTGCTGGCTCTTGTAAGCATGTTTGTGGTTGCAAAGGATAATGAATATTTCTCACCCAAATGTTGCTCTGTCATCATCTCTGTTTGGCAACCGGAGAAGCAGCTGTTCTCTTCCTTGACCTCAGGCAAGTGGTGCCAGGACTGGGTGTCAAATCTGTTTCATCAAACGGGATTTGCACATGCAGGGCTGCTGTTTTCATTGCACTGTGTGGAGTCTTACTGCTCAGCAAGCTTTAGGAAAGGTCCAGTTTGGGGGGTTTGAAGTGTCTGTGTCTCTATGTGTATGTAGATACGTATATATTCCACACATTGGTCATACATTTATTTGTCTAGTTAGCTTGCATGCTCAGAAACATATTTATTTTGAGATTGTCAACACTTCTAAACTTGACCAAAGAGTAACCCTAAAAACATTGCCAAGAACAGATTTTCTTCTTTCCAGAGAGCAGTTTTCAGTAGGTGAGTTTTAGAAACCATTTTCAAAAAACATAAACTGCTGTTTTCCAGCAAAGAGGATTATTCATTCTTTTTTGAATTCAGGTTATTTATTTCATACCACTTTAGGCAGGCTCAGCGGTAAGTTGGGGAGACAGGGATGATCCTGGTCTCAGTCTTGTAGACACAGCCAGGTTCGTGGAGATGTGGCTGCCGTGACAGTGGAGGAGGTGAGCCCAGGACCTGTGTAAGTATGGGTTGTGATAAGAGTTGTACGAGCCCCCAACAAAATGATTATAAAAGAAAGAAAGAACAGTGGTTTTCAAGTCAGAATACTTGAGCTCTGGCCCTGGCTTGTCTCCAGTGTCATGAACCTGAGCAAGTCACTCATGATTATAGACCGTCAGATCCTTCTGTCAGATCGGAATTGCACTAGATGGTTTCTAAAGTCTCTTAGCTGCAGGAAATGGATTTGGTGAGCTCCAAGATAATCAGTGTGGTTTTCATGCAGCTCTTGCTACCTGGTGGTCCTTTAAAGCATGTACTATGAATTCGTCTGGAAACCCTTAACAGACAACAAATAACTTAATATGAAGTTAAACATCTTCATAAAGTTGGGATTTAAGATGGGTATTTTTGACTTGACTCTGTTTCCTGTGTGCACCTGAGATGGAGCGGAAGGGCTATGATGTCGCAGGACGCAGTGTAGAAGGACAGCGTGCGCAGTGGTCAGCCCACTCTGACTCCTCTCGAGTCAGCATGCCAGCCCTCCCAGTGCACTGAGGTGGCTTTCACCAGTCTCACCAGTCTCTCAACCTTTGCTCTCTGTTAGAATTTTGTGGCGTGGTTCTTTTCTGAATTTTGCTTTAGCTGTACACCTGACCATGCCCACCTGAGCTTGTTGAATGATGCTATCAGAAGGCAACATCTCCATACCTGAGATTGTGGATCACTGAAGCTGGACCTGCCAAGAGGGTTGAGCGGGAGCAATAACCAGCCTGCATGGGTACAAGTACTTCCAGGGGAGAGTGCGTGCCTTCACGGCATGTTTAGGGAGTTTGCGAAGGACCGGTGGTTCTGAGTAAGAGCTTAGCTCTACAGTATTCTGCCTACCAACCAGCTTTGGCCCACTCTTAGTGATGGAGCGCTCCTTTAATGGGAATGCCAGAGAGGAGTAGCTTTAACAAATGAGTTTTATTTTCTCACAGTTTAAGATTAGAAGTTGGAATTTGGGCAACTGGCTCCAGAAGTCTCTCTCTCCCTTGGCTCTGGGGAGAGGTCTTTGCCGCTTCAGGTTTCGGTTTTTTGGTTCATCGCATCCTCATTGCTAGCTCAATCTGCTTTTTTACAATTTTAAAGCTATTAATTTAAGACCCACCCCATCGCAATAGTACCTTATTAGCATAACAGAAAAGCCACTCCTCAAGAAGCTCTCAACCATAGGTTTGGAAGTTGAGGGACAGGGAAAAGAGGATGAGATGGATTGCCTGGTGGCTACAGCAATCGCCTCCAACATCACAACACTTGGTGAGGACGGCACAGGACCTGGTGGTGACTCACTCTGTTGCACATAGGTCTCTAAGTTGGGATTGGCTCCATGGCAACTAACACCACCACCGAAGTCTAGGGATTCAGATTTATAACAGACTTCTTTGGGCAGGATACAATTCAATTCTAATACCCATTAAAGTAAATTTTGATGCAAATTTTCACCTTAAGAGTACTGTACAATGTTTACCATTTTGTTAGATAAAAAAACTCATCTTTTACTATTAATAATAAATTGAAGATGATCAAATGAGCAGCCTTTGTTTAATGAAATGAAGATATAAAGCAGTTTTTATTCATAGATTACAAAATTATATGTATAGGAATATTCCAAGAAAAATCCTACTAGAATAAGTAAATGAATTTAACAAGGTCCATATACAAAAGTCAATTGTGTGACCATAATCTATGAATTGAAGAAAAAGAATTAAATACATTTAATAAGTGCAATAAAAGCATAAAATTCTTATGAATAATTTTAACAATATATATATAATGCTTCATTATATGATTAGCCCTACTGAATTGTATACTTAAAAATGATATGCTTGAAAGGGCAAAATTTGTATTCATAAAGGGGGAAAATTCAGATTTAAAAACTGGAAAACATTGCTGAAGAAAATTTAGAGAAATTTAAATGGAGAAAGAGAAACCATTTTCAGAGACTGGAAACCTGGTGTGATTCATTTCTAATATTTTTATTTCAAGTTATCCAGGATAAAGTAGTTTCTCCTTTATACACATTTGTTGTTGTAAACAGTGGTTGCAACTCCCTCAATGTAACACCACTCTTTCCACTTCTTTCTTTCCAGTTTCTGTTCAACCATGTTTCTTAGCCCCTCCTGCCTTCTGACCTTGACCTTTGTTTTTGAACAAATGCTGCCCTGTTGGTCTTGTATGATTGATTCTTTTGAGAAGCATGATTTTTCACCATGAAAGGTGTGCATAGAGGGCTACAAATTGAGCTACTAGACACAAAATCAAGCAGTTGTTCCCGGGAGAAAGATGAGGCTGTCTGCTCCCACGCGGGCTGAAGGTCTCAGCGCGCAGACGGCCGGGGCTCCCTGCCCTAGTGGGCTGCAGTGAGTTGAAATAGACTTGATGGCAATGAGGATCTTTCTTTCTTGAAATAGTTTATTGATTTGCTGAAAGGCGATCTTCAGAAATGAGTTCAAGTTCAGGCTTGAATGGTGTCTAAAGTCCACAGTCTTGGAGGGTCCGCTACTCTTTTTCAGGCCAATCTGCCTGGTCTTTTTGATTTTGAATGTTGTTAGCAGTCGTCTTTTTCTTGTTTTAAACAAAGACCTGCCCTATGCGTTAGACTTGATTAGGGAGTTTTACAATGCACAGGAGTAGTGTTCTACTACGCACTCTGAGTTCAATAATCCATAGCAATGGCCACACAGAACTCATAGACCATATTAATTATTAGACAGTTTATTACGGAAGTTAACATGTTCCAATGCAGGTTAGAAGTGCTCCGGGGACTCTTGTTGTCAGGACATGTTACAAAGTTCTTTCATGCCTGTTAACAGATGCCCAAAGAGCCTGTCACTTCACTGTAAGCTTCACCCCAGAGGCACTCAGGGGCCAGCAAACCCAGTTCGCTGGATTAAGTCCCTAGAGCTCCCAGTCCACAAGCAACCTTCCATCCAAGAGCTCTCGGCTACTTACTTCTAGGAATTCTGCTCCTCTGTGTAATGCTCCGACTCCTGATTCTGCTACTGCTACTACAGTAACAACTAGCTTCGGGATCAAGGATGTTCACTGTGCAGGGATCTTGGGGTTCAGAGGCCATGCCCCCCTCCTGGCTCTTTGGGCAGTAAGATCGCCCCTCCAGCTTCTCGGAGGGTTCGTTTCTTACTCAGCAAGGTGGCAATCCAAGGATCCTCTTAGCAATTACAGGTGAAACCTACCAGTGTCTTCCCCTGCTTCATACCCAGACCCATGCAAGAAAAGGTGGTCGCGGAGACGTTGCCTAGAAGAGCCACACTAAATCATTCACTGCCCTCAAAGTAACACCTTTTGGTGTATTACCCATAAAGTTGCTAGAAATGGTTTTTTTAAATGGTTATCGGTACGAGGTGTGGCGATGATAATTAAAGTGTGAAAATAATTTCTAATTTGACAGAAGAAGAACTGGCAACTCCTCCGTTAGATGGCATCATTCTCCCGGGAGTGACAAGGCAGAGCATTCTGGACCTGGCACACAAGTGGGTGGGTACCTTTGACATGAGCAATTTTTCTGACTGTGAAACCAAAAGTAATCAAAATAAGCCAACCTGGGCTTGAAATAATGCTCTGTAATGCCAACTGCTGTTTCTTTAAGACGCCTGAGTGGAAAGCACCCTTGTAGAGAATTGTCCTGGTGGCGCTCTCAAATAAGTGCTGAGTATTGCGGAGGACGGAGAGAAACCGGTTGGGTGGGCTTTCCTCATGAAGCAGTGTTAGAAGAATCATTCCATTCTTCAGGCCAAGCGTCTACTTGGCTTAGACTTTGTGTGCTTCTTAACTTCTCCAAGACTCTAAATGGCCACGATCAATCCTTCTTCCCTTCCTCTACAAGGGGACTTCAAAACATTCATGGGAAAAAATCCCATTATCTTTCAATTCCATTTTTTTTCACCAACTTTTAAAATTATGCTCGTATTTACTTTAGTGCAGCCATGACATGAGTAGAGGTAAAGTATTTCATTGACATATAAATATTTCCTAACATAACATGACTGGTTTGACTGCTGCCTGCCTATTCCTATTCCTTCCAAATTCTACATACCTACTTATTTTAAAATGAAAGCACTCGAGCAAATGTAAAGTTGTTTGCAGTAGACTTTCAGATCTGTGTGACAAAGGCCAGCACATGGAGCCATTTGGTATTGGAAATGACATCGCATAGCCAACATGAATTTCGAATGAGTTGGTTGTTTGGCAGAGCTTTTTGGATGGAACTTTTGACCCATGTGTTAAAATGGTCTCCAAGGAGCATGAAAAGGCTTTGCACACACTGTGGTCAAACAGTACTAATAGGACAAATATTTAGCAACACACACTCATTATCTATCGAGGAGAGTACTAGCAGTTTCTCTGGAAAAGACCTTGAAAACAGGAAACGTGCTATAAATAATCCCACAAAACCCTGAAGTAGACAAGACCCAACTGCCACATGCTGGCTGGCACATTGGCCATGACATTTACAAACTGTTGGTATAATTTCAAACAGCTTGCCCTGTCCTAAATATGTTTGCAGTTGAAAAGATGTATTTTTGAAGCTCAGTAATTTTTGTTTTATTAAAGAAAAAAATCAACCAAGTACAGAAGGTTTGATGACACGTTGTAAGAAAAAATTCTGTACCACACTAATGATTTGCTAGCATGAAAAATAGGTTATTATGGAGGAAGTTTTCTTTCACCCCCTTCTTGACTCCTTAGCTATAATTTATTTTAAAAGCTATTTTAAAACAGTGAGACATGAAATGCCAAGAGGCAGGTGGGGGGTTACCAGCACTTGCCAGACAGGGGAAATTGTCCAAAGATAAGGCATGGGGAGCAGAGTGAAAACAATTCTGTTTATTTACAAGACTCCTTCGCCACCCCACACCCTCCAAGAATACAGAATTCAGCTGGTTTTCCATTAACTTGGTGGATATTCTGGCCTTTGTTTCTTTTTAAATCTTTGAACAATACAATAGCAAACTGAGATAAATTGGAATTTCCAAAGAGCCATGTTTCCCTGCAGACATATTTCCCCATTCTTCCAGATCTACTTACAGTCTTCTCTATTTCTCTCTTCTAATGTTTGAATCGTGCCAGTGCCTCTGATTTCCATTGTATCTATTGTAGGTAGGTAGACTTTCAAAAACATGCCGATTAAGATAAAAATCTATCACTTCTTTGCTGTTTCTAATTGAAATAGATTGTTTACAAATGAACAGCAATCACCAAAATAAAAGAAAGAATTGCAAAAATAGTTTTTAAAGTATTGGAATTCCTCCTCATTTCCTATTGTGAAGCAAATGTGTCAGTAACTGAGCAGAAGTCAATGAGGCGATGCCAATCATTCTAGGATGAAACTCAACCTAATATACTAATAGAGAAGATAGACAATGACTACTGTAGAGTCAACTGAATCAATGCACTTGAGAGAAAAAAACATATACATGCAATGCAATTTCACAAATATTTTAATAATACATACACATTTCAGGAAGTTGCACTCAATCTACATTTTCGCTCCATAAAAAAAGCAAAAGCAAAAACAAAACAGTAGACGGAGGCCCAGTTGCAGAGCCAGTTAGATCAGATCTGGGTCTTTTCCTGTTTTCTAGCTGCCTGACCATGTGGGTCTCATCCAATCACCCTGCACTTTAGTTTTCTCCACTGTAAAATGGGGATGCTAATTTCTACCTTACAGAATTCCAGAACTTGCTACGTGGCACGTGGTCGTTAACATTGTCGACATCGATACAATGCTATTTTCCTTTATGATAAAATAAGGTTAAAAACACATTTACTGCCTTTAGTGTGTTACAATTTGTGAGACTAAAGCTGACATCAAACCAAAAGGGGAATAAAAGCTAGTACACTCTATCAAAATACGCTATGTAAATTAACAGTGATCATCGTATGTATTTTTTTTCTGGTTACTCATAGAATCCGTGTGAATTTTCAGTGGGTTCCTTAATTCCTCAGTGTAGTCAGCATAAGATGGTCTTGTCCATTCCAGTTTTATCTCTAAGGATGGTCAGGACACTGAGTTGAGAGCAAGTGTTGTGGGTGGCTCCACATATTGTTTAGCATATAATCGTTTTTACTTTTTTATTTGTAAAACAGGGTGAATTTAAGGTGTCTGAGAGGTACCTCACCATGGATGACTTGACCACCGCCGTCGAGGCAAACAGAGTGAGAGAGATGTTTGGCTCTGGGACGGCCTGTGTTGTTTGCCCAGTTTCTGATATACTGTACAAGGGAGAGGTAAGACGGTGCTTCTCTTTCTCTGGCATTTCCAAACATTTCATTGTAACTTCGTTACATTTGTAAAATGTGTACACCAAATTCTAGTGAACGGAGGGTGCAAAGGGGTTTGTTACAACTTGGCATTCCATCAGCTGGGACATTTGGCCAGGTGAACGCCTATTATCAAATGATCTGCGACCATCTTTCCAGTTATTTTGTGTAAGCTCAAACATGATGGAAAGTCAGTGTTGTGTTTAGGCAGGTCCCATATTTGCATTCTGCAATGTAAGGGTTAGAGTTACACCAACATGCTTCTACTCTTTTCTCTTTCTATCATCAGTTCATTAAGGAACACTCCACAGGTGTGGTTTTCAAAAGTACTTCCAAACTACTGGAGGAGAAATGGCAAACATGGATGGGAAATGTATTTGAATGATCAACTTCATTTATAATAATAGTAATAGTGATAATAATCATTGTATTGCTTTACAAAAATTATCTCCATGGGTAGACTTTGTAGGCTTACTAAAGTTTTCCAAAAGTATTTCAAGGATTTGGTGAGAAGAAATTTTCTCCACCCAGCAAATCAGTCTGATTCTGTGTTGTACTTCTATGTTTTTGGCAATTGGCTATGCTTGTCTCTTTTTAATTAAACTTAAGTACTCATAATTAACATTGGCATCTCACTTTTTAACTTCATGGCATTCATGTTACTCTTAAAATGTGAATTGGCGCCCGGCTATCAAAAAGTATACCGTCTGGGGTCTTAAAGGCTTGAAGGTAATCAAGCGGCCATCAAGCTCAGAAGCAACAAAGCCCACATGGAAGAAGCACACCAGCCTATCCAACCACGAGGTGTCGAAGGGATCAGGTGTAAGGCATCATCAGAACAAAAAATCTTACCATAGTGAGTGATGGGGGGAGTGCGGAGTGGAGATCCAAAGCCCATTAGTAGGCCACTGGAGATCCCCTTGCAGAGGGGTCTAGGGGAGGGGATGAGCCAGTCAGGGTGCGATGTAACAATGACGAGAAATACAACCTTCCTCTAGTTCCTAAAGGTTTCCTCCCCGCTCCCACTACCATGACTCGAATTCTATCTTGCAAGACTGGCTAGACCAGAGGAGGTACACTGGTACAGATAGGAACTGAAAATACAGGGAATCCAGGATGGATGAGCCCTATAGGACCAGTGGTGTGAGTGGTAAAACAGGGAGGGTAAAGGGAGAATGGGTAGGGAAGAGGGAACCGATTACATGGAACTGTGTGTGACCTCCTCCCTGGGGGGCAGACAACCAAAAAGTGGATGAAGGGAGACGTCGGACAGGGCAAGATATGACAAAATACCCATTTATAAACTATCAAGGGCTCATGAGGGAGGGGGGAGCGGGGAGGGAGGGGAAAAATGAGGACCTAATGTCAGGGGTTTAAATGGAGAGAAAATGTTTTGAGAAACGATGTACAAATGCGCTTTACACAATTGATGTGTGTATGGATTGTGATAACAGTTGTATGAGCCCCTAATAAAATGTTAAAAAAAAAGAAAAAAGAAAATTAAAAAAATAAATAAATAAAATGTGAATTGGCTTAAGTTATTCATTAAATAGAGATTCTATTGGTTCTTAAAGTCTACAGTTTTTAAAGTTTACTCCTCAGCTGATTGGATTGGTTTTTCATTTGACTTTAATGATGGCTACTTCATTGCTTGATTTTTTTAAAAAAATTGGTTTTCAGAGATGATGCCTGCCCTAATTCCATCCAGAAAATTATTGTTTCATAGGTTTTATTTTAGGTCAATACTTTTACTGACTATAAAGCTACGTATTAGTATTTGTTATGGGTGTATCAAGACCAGTGTGTTATTGGTCTACTTTTCTTTGCACTGAAGAGTTACTCAATTTTTAAGTTTTTGAATTTTAATTATTTCTAGAAATATGAACATTATAAAGTCTAGCATTTTTAATGGTCTTATTCCTGGGGAGCAGGAGCAATAGGTACAACCAACAATTATCCTATTTTCATAGAAGCTTAATACAAAACTGATTTTGATGGTGGGGAAAAATATTTTTGAGATCTTTCCTGCTAAAAGAGATGGAAGATAATCCTTTATCCTCAGAGTCTCAGAATCCTGGAAGAGGTGAAGTTCTTAAAAATTTAGTCTCTCTTTTAGCTATACTTAGTCTCTCATTGGTTTCCTAAATCAGTCTAAAGACTAGTGCATAAACCAAGTGTGCCCCAATATCAGTTGCCAAGGAATGGATAGCCGATGATTGGTTAGTTTTCATCTGAAATCAAAATAAGAAGCTAGCACACTTAATCAGTAGGTTGTACTGTTCCTTGTTTCAGTGAAATTGCCTTAAGACTGTAGAATTTCTAAGTGTTGTACTTGTTCTCACTATAAGCTGGACTGCCCTCAATTTATCCCATCTCTCTTTCTTTCCCAGAACATACACATTCCAACTATGGAGAACGGTCCTAAGCTTGCGAGCCGTATTTTGGAGAAATTGACTAGCATTCAAGTAAGAGCTTCTTTGTTTTAAAATGTATATACCCTGAATTCAAGTGTAGAACCAAATATATTTCAATGGGGAAAAAAAGAGCAAATCTTGAAATTTGGGGTAAAAATTCAAGAAAGCTTTTCTGGTAGTATATGTGGGCAAAGCAGCAATGGGAGAGGTGGCACATATTCAATAAAATGAGGAAAAAATATATATATTGTCAGCTCTCCAAATGACTCTCTGTCCATAGGTCTGCTCATGTATGTATATATAATTTTAATTTTTTTAAATCTCACTTATATGTGTCACTACATTTGTTAGAAACTTAAAAACTAGAAGAAAGCATAAAGTTAATCAGCTTTAATTCTAACGCTGCGATCTAAACATTGTGAATATATCAACTTCCAATATATTTTGTAAGCATTTATATCCCTTTTTCCCCCCCTACCACCATAAGGCTATAGTTGACTTAAATGTGTTACCTGATCTTTTAACCTAATAAACCATTTGCTTTTTCATATCCTAAGATAGTTTTCTCTAGAAGTTTCACAATATGCAGAAATGAAGCAACATACTATTAAATGTTTAATGGGCCAAAGAAGGAATCATGTGGGGAAATACTTCCACGGGACGACCATGTAAGCAGAGCATACTGAAACTTGGGAGCAGCAGCTTACATCATGCCTTATTTAGCAGGCATTTGGGCATCTTTTAGGCAAGTTACTGACATATCAAATATCAAGTAACCCTAGTCAGTAATTTGCAACTAGGAGATTTTAGTTGAGCCCCGTGTACTCTCATTGCTAGCCCATGAAAACACACAAGGAAAGCCAAGATGTGTATTGAAGGTGAAATAAAGTTCAATAGTTTGATAGTAAAGTCAGATGAAGTTGAGCCTTGGGTACTAGATAAAAGTGTACAGTTAGTTAAAAACCAGTAAGCCTCCAGTCTTTAGATTTTTGAAGAGTGATAAAAATGACATTTTTTTTACCATCTCAGCAACTTTTATGCAAAATGTACTATTCAAAGAGTACTGGTTGTTATTTTTGAAAGTGAATTCTACTCAAACCCTTTAGCAAAATGTGGCTATGGAAACTAAGCTAAAAAGAAGAATATCTTAATATTGGAAGAAGGAAAATTTACTCAGAGTTTTTTACTGTACATAGAAATGATAAAAGTTAATTGAAGGATAGTTAGTAAAAGTATCTGCAAGGGCTTATTCAAGTTTTGTTTTCGCTTTGCATTTTCCATAGCTGTGAGTAGACCTGATACAGTTAGTAAGTCATTAATGTTCTATCTTTGAAAGAACATCATTAAAACAAAAATTAATTGGCTCGATTATGAGAGTCTTTATCTAAAACAACAGCTGAGAGTTTGAGGACAGGAAGTATGCGTATAGTGATAAGAAAACAAGATCACGTTGGAAATTCTTCTTGAACATGTGGATGGAAGAGACTAGTTCATTCTATAGCAGTCAATCCACCGAACAATAGATTTCAGGGTTACTTCTTGGCAATAAAATTTAAAAAAGAAAATATAAGTTGACTTGATGTGGGTGTAAAGTATCAAAAGAAAAACAAAAGAAAAGGCACCAGTGTTACAGAAACATCCAACGATAACATTTTGTTGAAAAGCAGACCTAAGACATGGTGTTTGACACATAACTACATCGCCTTAAGGAGGGAAGCGTTCGTAGGCAAAAGAGAATTATTTGCTGTCAACATTGTGAGGGTGACAGAAGATGTGTACGGGAACCCTGAAGTCTAAGTAAAAGATAAATGGAAACGTGTAGTTTTGGGGTGTGATGGGGGTACATTATGAAACTCAGAAAGAATGCTTTTCTGAGTCAGATTATGTTTTCTGGTGGCACTAATCCCTGGACAAGGATATCATATTTTGTGAAGTAAAAGGCCATTAACAAAAAGAGGAACACCCTTAAAGAGAGATGGATCGAGCCAAAGAGTGGCTGTAGCAGAGCAGTGATTGTGAGGATGGCGCGGGGCTGGGCGACGTTTCCTTCTGTGGTCCGTAGGGCCCCTCTCAGTGGAGACGGGGCTGGCACCGAAACAACAGTGTATAACGTGGTGCTCGATGAACCTGATGATTTCCCCTTTGCCCCTGCCACAGTGATAGCAACACTGAGAAGTCATGATAGAATTCTAAGTTCTGCACTGAATAAAGAGCTATCACCATACAACATGTGAGATAATAGTGACTCTCTAAACCACAAACCCTAAACCCCCAAACCTCTAAATTCTTCCGTTTAAGAAGGGCCATGGGGGCGGGGTGGTGGTTTAAAAATCTAAGACCACTTCTTTCTTCTTCACTTATTCTATGGCTGTGGGCATGTGATCTAACGGAGTCTTAAATTATCCTCTTGCGTGATGGCAACTTTGTGCGGGCAGCCAAGCTACTAGGTTGTCTGCTTCTCTCCAAGAAAAATACTTTAAGTAATTATTTAGGGGAAAGCACAGCATTGCATCATGGTTTACATTTGATCCCTTTGACAGTACATGGAAACATAGATGTTTCCTACAGAGCATGTGAGAAATGGAAAACAGGGAACAAGGACAGCCGCCCAAACCCCCCCAGACTCGCCAGCATGACCCAGGGGAACATTCCTTCTTCCCACAGATTGGCTGTTCATTGTTAACGTAGGTTGTGCCGAAGGATCTCTGAGGTTAAGTATTTCATCCTATTTAGCTAATTAGCCATGCAGTACTCTGGGTTTTAGATTGCTATACAAATAGCACCTGGGAGGGTGGAGCGTTTCAAATGAAAGTTTTTCTCTTTTTTTCTTCGTTTTTTTTAATAATAGAAGGAAACACTTCTATGTACTTCATCAGACTTAACCTTGGGGGACAAGCGTCTTGCTGCCATGTTTTCTTGCTGATACAGCACAAGGTTATCCTGGCTCTTGGCTGTTCCGCACACTCACCCTCACACGCCCCTTTGCCCTCACCACGTTGTAGCCCTCTCTGCTTTCTGACACCTCCTGCTTTTGCCATCTCGCCTACTGTTTGGCCAGATAATAAAGATTTGGTTGTTCTTTAAGACTTATCGCCTTAAAAAAAAAAAAAAGACATCTCCTTAAGCAACATCTCGAACAACATCTCTTCCCTGCAGTGAAAGCATGCATTCCCTGACACGCTGCTGCTTCCTGCAGGTGGCACGAGGTCTGTGATGGACACACGTGGGTTTCAAATACATTCCAACCGGTTCACACTTGTCTTCTACTGGGCCTGTTGGCATGATTGTGTCCTATCTCTGTGCCCTCATTACTCAGCCTCGGGCCCTGGGACACTCTGCCACTAGGAGGCTTCTACTCCTTTCTCTTTCTCTCAGTTCATTAAGGAACAGAAGTGGTTCCAAACGACTGGAGGAGCAATGGCAAATATGGATGGGAAATGTTCGAATGATCAACTTCATTTATAATAATCATAGTCATACTCACCATGGTGTCGCTTTACCCAAAACTATCTCCATGGGTGGACTTTACGGGCTCATTAAAGTTTTCCAAAAGGATTTCAAGGATTTGGTGAGAAGAAATGTTCTTCACCCAGCCAATCGGTCTGGTTTTGGGGTGTACTTCCACGTATTTGGCTTTGCTTTCCATACTCATAATGAACCTTGACATCTGAACAAAAAGTTTAAGAGAACTTGATTGAGAAGTATTTGAAATACACAGCGACACTGCTATCAGAATAAGATAGATGCTGGAGCCTGCCTCTGAAACATCAGGTTCACATGTGTGAGGAGCAAAAGCAGTAGCATTGTTGCTCTGGGGGTTTGGAAAGTGGGAAGGTCGCCGCGACTGCGCGTCTGAGAGGTGGAGGCCTGGACCGCGTGGAAAGAGGAAATGTGAGGAGGAAAGGAGCGGAGTCTGCGTTCACTGCGGGTCACTGCGAAACAGTGAACGTGTGTTTTCCTGTGCGTGGTTCTAGCTTTGTAGGGTGACTAACTCGGAGTGATTTCTAGAGTTTTCCTTCTTTTTAGGGGAGCAGCGCAGGGACTTTCCGTTACATTTCTTGTTGAAAGAAGCTATCCGCATTGTCCGTATGCACACTAACTATTTCTGGATTTCCCTGAGGATTTACTTCCATGACCGGCTTCCCAGCCCTTTCCTTATTCCCTGACACACACTTCTCCACACCTTATGCCATTTCCAAAGTTTGCACAGCTGTTCAGTCGGATTTAGAACAAGAATGACAGACTGTTACCTGGCATGCAACGTAACCCCGATTATGTTTTCACGGGTGCGCAGCGTGAAGACACAACGCAGGTTTGCTTTTGTGGTGCCAGTAACATTTCTTTTTTTTTTTTGCATGTAAGAGGCATTTTTGTAAAAGGCCATACAAGGTATTTCGGCATTTGTACCTCAGACACGAAGTGATGAACGGGTCTTTAGTCATGGTTTAGTGTTCTACATGGAGTTCACAAGATGATTAAAATTCTCCACATACAGATTGTCTCCTACCGGGGTGTAAAATCCTACTCCAGAGGCTAATTTATCACACTGCTTTGGCCTTATCTTGAGTCCAATGAAAAAAGCTGATTACGTGTGGCTTGTGCCCGTTCTAGCAAACACTGAGATGGCGCTGTAATGGCACTGGCAATCATGTAATGACGCCCTGGTTCTCTCCTCCCCGTGTATGGACGCCTATCTTGAGGCATGAAAATCATTTCTATCTGCTAAAGTCAGTCATCGCTATTTAGGATTATTTTTCTCTGCGGGATTACATTGAATTATCCTTCAGCCAAATGGAAGACCTGCTTGTGAGTTTGCAGAGGACAAGCCAAGGGCCCCATTTAGGCCCACATTTTAAGGAATTACCAGGAATGGCTTATGTCAGGAATTCTTTTCAGAATGCTGAGATTTTTATATAAGAACCAATTGTGAGGTGAGAGGGTTAAAACAATGCATATTATTCAGGGTCATAGAATGATACAGCCTATGGCTGTTGTTGATTTTCAATCTTTTATGACACCTTGACAACTAATTAAAAACAAATTTACTTCAA